CTATATACGCGTAATAACTGTTCCAGCCCCGCGGTATGTTTCTGACATTTTCTGATGGGATCCTGCAGCCAGTAAAATATTTGCATTTCAGGAGGTCGTCAAGGGGATATTGCTGCTTCCTTTTATGGCGTTCGTTTTCGCGGAATCCCGCTTGTAGTTTGGCTTACAACGCAGAAATTCGCGTTTCACTCAGCGAGCACTCAGCAATGTGTATATGTTGCGGTCACTTTTTCGGCATTCTCCCAACTGTCTTGTAAAGGGTTCGCTGGCCTCGCCAAGCTGTCCATAAGCAGCTTTTAGCCAGTGAACCTCTCCAGAACCTGTTTCTTTCTGGGAAATAAACATTATTTGATTGGATTGTTCAGGGACGTAATCTCTTTCCACGGGGGTAAGAGGGTTGGACGTACTTCTTGTTGGCCTTTATATGCGTGTGCTGTGCACGTGCGAAATTGAAATATTTTAGGCGCGCGAGTGGGGAGGGGTCGTTCGATCGAAGCCTCGTTTTTATTGCAACTGGGACCTCGGTAGCACTGGCATAGCCAGGGGGTCGGTACATATATGCGTGCGCAGTAGGGAAGGGTTCAGAGGGGCGCCGCTCCCCCTAATGACCTTAGAGGAAGGGGGAGGGTGCAAAGTCTGCCCAATACATTGGCATATAGTTAAGGGGGCGCCGCAACAAACCTTCGCCTTCCCCTCCCCTGAAGGAAAACCCTGCGCACGGCTATCAAGGCGTCGGTTACAATCAATACACGGCTTTGTGCGCGCCTTCATGCCGAAACGGGCCTCACTTCTTGACGGCGTTGTTACCATAGTCGGCGGCCGTACTAAGCACCTGAGAACGAGTTACACGGCTAAGTTAAGAAATCGGTGAATTTTGCCGAGATGGCCTTGCACTCAAAATCAAACGCACAAAGTGGCCTCGTAGATCTCGCAATAAGCGTAAAAAGTTTGTTTTTTTTTCCTTTCTTGTAAGTAAACACCACCCGGCATATCGTGGTGGAAAAAGCTTTATTGGTTATTCAGGCGAAGGGGAAACAGCGAGTAGGTGGGTCCCTGTTCCAGGATTCCAATGATCCTCGCTAGACGCTCCGCCTGGTCCAAAAGGCCTCTTTGGACCTCCAGCCTTGGCCGAGCAAGGAGCGTCTCCCACGGCTCCCTAGAGTAAGCTCGTAACCCAGGCGAGCTCGCCTCATGTGGTCTTGCTGCTCATTCCTACGTCACATGTGACAGTGACGGCCGTGCACCACACGATGGGCAAGCGCTGCCTGGGATTCATGTGGTGGGCCCTCTCCAAGTGGCGGTATAGGTGTGTGTTTGAGTTCTATATGCGCGAGCTTCTGCGGTTCCCAGCTGCGCATGCGGTGGAGCTAGACGTTCTCCGGTCTCGAGCGTCGTTGGTATCCGAGGATGTCTTGCGCCGTAAGCGGACTATCTTGTCATGGGCTGTGACTACCCGCTTGGTTTGTAAGTTCTCGAGCTAAGGCGTGCGCCCTCTCATTCCTTGGACACCATATGATCGCATGGTTTTCTCTAATTGAGTCACCTACTATTCTTACTGCGATTCGGGGTAATTTCCCTTGTATGTACATTCTGCAGGCTGCTTGAGAATCGTAGATATAACCAATGCCGACTGCCCGGCGCTGTCGGTATGTTTGATTGCCATTGCGATTGCTAGGACTTCAGCTGTGGCTGTGCATTTGGTGTTGACTGAGGCTGTTATATTAGTTTTATTGCGTTGTGTGTTTGCGAACGGCTACCGTGACGTGTCCTCTGACAGTGCGAGCGGCGTCCGGGTACAGCACCTCTTGACTGTGTCCGAAGGTTGTAATGAGTTGATCGGCTCGGGCTGGCCTTCTGCCTTTGTGATATTTGGCATTCATCTTCTTTGGTATCGGTGTTGCTTGTATTTGTGGCCTGATGTGGCTTAGAATTTGATGAATTTTGTCACGGCAGTATGGCGGTCAGACCGGGTAGCTCAGTACAGATAATAGTTGTTGTCCAGGTTATGTTAAACACAGTCGTTCTGTCTTAGTTATCATAACCACGGCCTTCAACACTTCGAATGTAATTTATACGCCTCTATCGTAGAGTCTTTCATTCGCGGTGTTCACCGGCAATTTTAGTGCCACTTTGTAGGCGCTTCATATGACCCGGTCCATCATCTTGATTTCTGAGCAACTTGGGGTTTTGATAGAGTAGAGCATATGTTATCCTGCTAATTATAAAAGCTTGAACCAGTCGTATTGTTTCGCTTTCGTGCAAGCCTCTCCCTTAACGATCATTGCAATTAGCCGAGCTATATTCTTCATTGTCGTTCTCAGGGTTGCGACAGTGTAATCCTCTCGCCTATTACCACCTGCGCGCCACTAAATCCAAGAAACAATCCCTCCTTCTTTCCGGGTACTTCGTGCCTCCGAGTGTCGTGCCTTCCAATATATCTGACGCACCGATCCAAATATGCTGTGATTGGTCGACCAAGAGCGTACAACTTCCGGTCAGTCTGCTGGCAGTTGTTCACGCCGCTTGGTAGTCGTGTTGCCCGCGTGCGAGCGCCCGCTCACGAATCAGCTGCGGAGGTTGTCTGGCACGGCATGTTCTCGCACGTGTCCATCGTGTTGGCGATCCTTTGAAGGCGTGCGCGCAACGCAGGGTCCGACACGATTCGTATAGGTACCGCAGCAGCCGCCAGCGGTTCGCCAACTAGCACGCAGCTACAACGCATCTCACAAACGGACGGAGTCGCGGAAACCGGAAGTACACGGTGTTTCAAGCAGCGCGTCAGCGGTGACGTATGTCACGCGAGATTGGAAGGGGCGTGGGAGGGGCACTCGGCTAGAGGGCAAAGCGGCTTTGGGAGAGGATACCACGGAGGGTAGCGCAGGAGAGAGCGAAAATGGGGATCGTCGCGGTTTCGATAATCAAACGCGTCAAACTCCGCTATCACGACACCGTTTCTAGAAATTCTCACAGATCCGTGTTCGTCGTACACTCGATCCCAATTTGCCCACAACAACTGAATTTTGACCTCTGGGTGATTCACAGGCTTATAGGTAAAGTGAGTCCGCAGAAAACCTTCGGCGTCGTTGCTTATCAGGCGCGTCCATTAGCGGAGACAGTCCACGCAGCCACCGCGCCGAGTTTCCCGGCGTGGCGCCAGCCGAGTACGAGCGAGGAATGACCTGCGTTACAGCCAGCTTTGCTGCGCCTTAATTCTGGCGCTGCAGGGTGCTTTGAAAGTCGCCCCTCTTAAAGCACCCCGATAAAGAACCTTTGCAGAAGCGAAAAAAAAAATCCATGTTTCGGCCAAGGTGAGAGCACATGCATAAAGATGAGCATGTCACAGTGAGCCACATGCTCCCACTTTCATTTGCACCAGGTCTGTAGTCATGGGAAAGGAGATGCCCTATCCACCCCTCCTCCGCAAAATTCTGTAACAAAAAAATTTTACCAAAAAAAGTAATGAATATACTAGGTGTTCTTCGGAAATAGTCAAGGTTCTCAGTAAATGCCCCCCCCCCCCCGCCCTATTCCCACCCATCCCTTCCCGAAAAAAAAAAAAAATCCTGGCTACGGGCCTGATTTATACGACTTTGAATGACTAAATAGAACGCATGTGTTGCAGTAAAACTGATAGCTGGGCGAGTTGGTAAGTATCCATGATATCACTTTTTAGCACGCACAAAAAACTGGACAAGAGACAGACGAGCGCTATTTTACTCACAAGTAATCTATTTTTGAGAGGAAGAAAACGTACAAGGACCTGGAAACCAGCTCGGCGCATGTGCAAGTCATGTGACAGGCAAACATACAAAGACATGGCTAAATAGAATTTAAAAATCTATACTCTCTGTCAGTTAGAGTCACCAATGGTTGACTAATACGTTCGTTTTTACACCTATTTATATGGAAGGCTTCCGTCAGTTGACATCGTAGTTTATCTCTATGTGTGAACAAAATGTGTGTATCGCGAAACACGGGATCGCAATCGCATGATATACAATTGTCTGACAAGTGTGAAAATGTTTCTTTTCCTAGTGAGTTATCATGCTCTTTTAGTGGTGTACGATGCATAGCGCTCGTCTGTCTCTTTTTTGTCAGGTTTTTGTGCGCGCTAAAAAAGTTATATATCATGTGTGTAAGTATGTGTGCTTGCGTGTCTGTGTAAAGATGAAGCTTGGCAGGTATTATCACTTGAAGTGATACCTGCGGTCTTCTTTCACTCTTCGCATAGGGATGGTAATATCGATTAGGCATTCATCGATTGAAGGTGAACGATAGATAATCATTTTCCACCTTTTAATTAATCATATTGATCGATTAAAAATTCAGATTGATAACGGCAATCGCCTCTCCCAACACCAATCCTTGTCGGTGCGCATGAGTGCGAGGCAAGCGATGCCGGGGCCCAGAAATCGATCATGTCTAATATTTTGCTCTACAGCGCATATTTGTAGTAGAACAAGCTTAGGGCCGTCTACAGCCCTACCTCATAGAGACAGAAATGCACTCGCCCTGGTCTTCGTCGCCAATGGCATCCACCTTCAAGCTTTGAATGACTGGAAATGCTGGAAATCTGATATGCTCGTTAACGACCATGCGGCAAATTCATCTGCCAAGCCTTGGTTCAACAGGCCTGGTTTGTCGCCGCGATCATCATAGGAAACCCGGACTAGGGTTCCCTCCCACATGCTTTGCTAATACGTACTTTATAAAATGTTTTCTCTCTTGGCCCCGGCGACGAGACGTCGTGGTTAGTCCAGGTCAAATTTTTATTTGATGTTCTAATCTGCACTCCGGCGACGTTTTTTTTTTTTTTCGGTTATGACAGGCAGTGCGCCTGCGGGCTGTACAGGGTATATATCTCACAAAATAGTTGCGAGGCTGCACTTATCGATACTCTGCTGTGTTCGTTCTTCAATATCCCGTATACCGAATTCAGGCTCTGCAGTTTAGTGCTTTTCATTTGCTAGAAAACATGGTCATATTGTGCATCTTTCTAGGCCACAAGATGGGTAAGTGGCTGCTGCTGCTGTGGCCACCTCTGCTGCTGCCGCACGTGTGCAGTGGCGATCCGTCGCTGGAGCTGGCCAAGGCACGCCTGCTCCAGGCACTCGGTCTGGAGTCGGCGCCGCACAGAGGCTCCTCCGCAAAGCTGCCCGTGGTGCCGGACCACATGGCCAAGCTGTTCTCGAAGTGGCGGGAAAACGAGGGCGCCTTCCTCACGACCGGCGGCTCGGCCGACACCGTGCGTAGCCACACGCCGTGGGGCCCCGACCGCGAGGCACAGACTGGGGGAGCACGCTTCCGCTTCAACGTGAGCGGCGACCCGGACGAGAGCCTGCTGGGGGCCGAGCTGCGCCTCTTCCGGCTCCCGTCCGAGCCCTCAGAGTGTCCCAGCGGTGCCGCGGCGCCCGTCGAACTGGTACGCGTCTACGAGGTCCTCCGACCGGCCACTCGCAAACTCGGCGAGGCGCACCTCAGGCTCCTGGACACGCGCGCCATCTCGTCCAAGGGATGGCTCGCCCTGGACGTCCTGCCGGCGGTGCGCCGCTGGCTGGTCGGAGAGCCCAACCACGGCCTCTACGTGCAAGTCGTCGACGCCCGGACGGGCGCCTCCAACTCCAGCAGGGTTCTTCTGCGGCGCGAGCGGCACAGCGAGCGATACTGGGCCCAGAGGCAGCCGGTGCTGGTCACGTACTCGGCCGACGGCAAGCGCGCGCCGAAGAGAGTCCGACGCGGCGCCGCACGGCGCCGCAAGCAGCCGCCGGGCAAACAGGGCCGCGACGCCTGTCGCCGCCACTCGCTGCGCATCGAGTTCAGTCACGTGGGCTGGAACGACTGGATCGTGGCGCCGCCCAGTTACGAGGCGTACTACTGCCACGGCACGTGCCCGTTCCCGATGCCCGAACACCTGAACAGTACGAACCACGCGATCGTGCAGTCGCTGGTCAACTCGATGCGCGCCAGCAAGGTGCCTGGCGCGTGCTGCGTGCCCACCGACCTGTCGCCCGTGTCGCTGCTGTACGTGGACGCGTTCGAGCGCGTCGTCCTTAAGAACTACCAGGACATGGTCGTCGAGGGATGCGGCTGCAGGTGATCGCCAGTGCGCGCGGTTTTTCTCCCAGTGGCATTTGAATCTCAACTGTGGTCGTGCGAGCGAGTCCTCCGAGTTGCGCTGGACGACATTGCCGAAAGGACGCTTGTCGACACTGCCTTGTGACAACAGACTGACAAGTGCAGTGTCATGGCTACTCATTAAGACTTCCTTCCACTCAAGAGTGTTCAGTGAAGGATCCTGAAAAGACTGAGCCAGATAAATGCCCAACCAGCTATCCCTTGTGGCTGCAAGTCTCAGGATTAACTATTTCACAATAAGGTACATACAGATATGCATCAATGACCAGACAACCGACTTTTCAAGGGGCTGTGTACAAACTTTTTGTTGGCTAGTTTCATCAGCGCAAACAGATTGCACTGTGCATATTCATTCCATCCCCAATGCGTCACATCCAGTGAGTATGCTGCCGGTAAGTATGAAATGCAAAAAAGCCTCCAGTACAATTTGCACTTTGCCTTACAGCAGATGATGAATACAACTACTAATATACATCCATGGTAAGATGAGGGTGGTAAACATTTTTTTAATTATGTAATGTACACACTTCAGTGAAGCTGCTTCCAAGTATTTGAATCAAGTGGCGGCATTATGGGTTTCCCAGCATCGATGAAACAAACTCCTTAGTGGCAATGCACTGTTTTACTGCATACTGCCTTGCAAATTTTCTTTGTAACTGTTCATTTGTGCCATAACACCACAATAAAATGTTGAACCATACTCTTAGTGGAAGCAACATTTTACTATAGAAATGTGACTGTGTATGTCATAGTTTATTGCACCTTATTCATGTCCTGGAGATAACCGTAGGTTGACGCAGGTTGATTCAGATTACTTCCACGTCGGCAAAGTAAGCATGAACCTAACCGCCATATCATGGATTTTCTGGGTGGTCCTGTGCTTGATCTGAAAGAGCCCCACTGTGAAGGCACTCTTTGCCACCAATCTTTTTGTCACAGTCTGTGAAGGCCGCGGGAGACTAACACAACAACTTCAGTAGAAATTTGCTCATACCTGTAAATGTTCCTCTGGTCTTACTAATGTCCATATCTGTCACTGGAACTCACTGTGGCTCAAAGGGGCCTGCAAGTAATTGTCGAATAACTTCATCACAGGAGTATGCCTCATGAACCGACTGCCAAAAAATTTTTTTGAATGAGTCAAATATGAGTGGATTTACAGGGATTAGCTGCAAACATTAGGCATGAATGACAAGGAGTCAAGAAGTTACGACCAGTTTGTCAGCACACGTCATGACCTCCTGGCATTTTTTTTTTCTTCGTTTTTTTCTTCTTCAAACACACAGCTTACTTCTAGTGTGATCGCGAGCTGGCTTGTGTAATTCTATATTGTGTGCGGGCACTTTGTGGCAACCCGAAGTGGCCGCAGTAACTATATAGCACACAATAAACCAATGGCCATGGACTTGTCGAAATATGAACAAGTGATCTCTAGATGACTTTAAAATTAATTGTTCATTTCAGGCCACGCGCTGCGCTTAAATTTTTGGCTCGTATGTTCTCAGAAGCCTCGATTAGCGATTGGCAGCATTCTGTGACAATGCTCAAAAAGTGTTGCAGGGCCCCTTTTTGAAGTCTCAACTTTAAACTAACTGACTAGCAATTTTCGTGCTGCAATGCGAAGATCACTCTTGAGAGTGTCTAATCGTCAAATGATTATTCAAAAAATACGAAACATTAACAAAATTTTATTGCCTGCAGTGCTGCTGAAGCTGTACAGACAACACATGCTGCAAACAGCAGTGTTATGCACACAGGCCATAAGAAAAGCCAGCATTGCTGCGGTTTGTCTTCATGCTCTGTCGTTCACTCAGCATTTACTGTCTGCATGTGCACCAGCTTGACATGGGCCTTTGCGTCCACTAGTCACTGCAAATGCAGCACCTGCTTGTCAGTGTCAATTCCTTTGCCTAGTAATAAGCATTGAATCAAGCGGGTAATGCACAGATACCATGATATCATTATCTGCAGACACTGAATACGACAAATCTATTCTGCATAATCCTACAAAGTAGAGCAATCGCGAGCATTCGTTGTGCACTTCAAATTAGCGACAAACTGCCCGTAACTTCACTCGTATTTGACAGATTCGTAACTTTTTTGTGGCAGTTAAATTGCGATGTAATAAACTCTGATAGTGAGGTGATTTGATGATTACTTGGCAAAGCGATGTAGTGCCCATTAAGGAGCTCACTTACAGATTATGCCAACCAATGAATGGTTTACACATACTGAGCAAGAATGTGTGCAGCCTTACGTTTTGTTACAATTAACACATAAAGAAGTGATGCACAATGTGACTTACGTCTTTTCCACAGAGCGTTAAAACATAAAGACCCTTTAGGTCCCAAGTGTGGCACAAGCAAATCTATTGCAAGTGGCACAGATTTCAAAAGGAATTAACAACATCGCACAGAAACTTGACTACCTTATACCCATTAGCAAAAAGTGAGCACACCTGTGAGGAAATGAATGTAATCCTGGTTCATTTAATACAGCGGATCAAAGCATGTATCATTGTGCCTTGTGCACCCTACTATTGTGGTACCTCTGGCATTTTGACAAAGCACAAAAGTTCATGTCAAATAAGTCCGTTGAAGCATTGACTGCAAGTTTGTGCTATTCACGCAGTGACTGCAAACAGCTGTTGCCAGAAATGACATCTTGCTGCACTGTGCAAAGATTTTGCCCTACCTGTGTGAATGGAGGCAGCATATTCTGGCTAAGGGAAGTGCTAGGCATTCAACTAATGAAAGTATGGCAATTAATTATGTTTAGTAGACTGAGTAATGCAATGAATACCTTTTGTGGATGGCATAGAAATCAGACTAAAAAAGCATTAAAACTAAGACAAGTTAATATGAGTGCTAAACCTTAGCATGGGAAGTTTTTAAAAAGAGGGAATCAAAGACTTCAGTGTAAAAGTATGTGTTGTAAATAAAGTATATACAAGTTAATGCATGAATGCCAACTTCACGGTAAATCGAGTTCATTACTATTCAAAAGCGATAGTAATCTATCGCCATTACTTTAAGCCAGTTGTATTTTGCAATTTAACTTGGTTACACTTGAGCAATTCTAGAAAAGCTATGAGTAATTAATTACTACAATTTATGAGTGATTTTCCCAAATACAATTCATATGTGACCATGTGCATGCAAAGAATAGGGGTACTTGCACTGAAGGCTTGCTCTGCACGTTATTGCACCTATTCGTACAATGAACTAGAATAACATTAATGTGCTCTCTCACAAAAGTGAAATGATGCACAAGTAATAGTGAGACCTAAGCAACCACAGAATGTACAAGGGTTTGCAAAAGGTGGCTCTCGCAAGTAGACATTTTGGGACTTGTAGTATGTTTCACCATTTCCCTGCAATGTGTGAGCCTTGTGGAAGTGAGAAAGGAGCAGTGTTGCTTGTTTCTGATAGTCAGCAGGGTTGTTTTAAAAAGCAACCCCGCTGGCTATCAGAAACAAGCAAAACAGCTTGTTTCTTAAATAAATGTAAAGGCTAGTCAAATGTCTTGTTTATGTGCGCATATACACATACCGTATTTACTTGGGGCTATGTACGAATGAGTGTTGAAGCTCTCCTGTGAATAGTCCAGAACAAAACTTTTGCAGCAGAAACAATAGCCCAGCTGTGTACATAGTACATGTATTTACTTCTATTATTGCTTCAGAGTGCAATGTACAACCAGCATAACTATAGCAAGAGACAAAAATATCCAATAGTAGCAGACACCCAAATATAGAGGACCAAATATGAAATCGAGTGCACAACTTGTATCCACAGCGATTCATTCTTGAATGCTAGCCACTCCAAAGATGTTTCTTTCCACAGAGGCCAACCAGAGAAGGCAGGCAGTGAGGCACGAGTAGTCAAGAGGCTGGCTGATTCAACGTGAAAAATAATGTGTATTCTACGAAAGAGTCATTGTGCAAAGCTGAGCTCAGCTGAGCATTTCTTGGAGGAATGCAGTAGAGTCTCTGGGTTCATTGGGTGTCACTGGAGCTAGGGTTGGCAGTGACTCTGAGATGGGTTGCAGCAAAAGGTGCTGCTGTGGTGGTGGTGTCGTCGTGGGAGCAGCAGCCTTGATGGCTGGCAGTCGAGACACCGTCCCTAAGGCCATGGCCTCAACAGGAAGGCGCACTTCTTTCTGAGGCTCCGACTCTTCTTGTAGGAACTTGACGAACAGTGCCGAGAAGGACTGCAAAGGCAAAGGATTCTCAGCATTGATCCCCAAAATTAAATGCCCTTTCATCAGTAAATTGAACTAGGACTATTTTAACATTTCAAATAGTCAAACAAATATTGGAGTATTCAAATTTGCTTAGATTAGAATTTAAATTATTATAAATATTTGAATTAGAAATGGATGAATAGAATAACCGCAAGTAGTACCCTCTGTAAAAGTGGTTTCACCTGCAGTGGAGGATTGTTATACCGAGAACACACCCAGTGGACAACCTGTGAATTACGTTATGCTTAAAATTTATTATACTTAGAGCATATAACCCGATATAACAAGGTTTCAAAACTTAAAAAGTGACAAATCGATGTAATATGTTCATTTAACCTTCGAGTGGGGCTCCACGGCAGTGCCAGTTTTCTCTAAATTCACGCTACAACACCCCTTCGCTGCAGTGAAACCACTTTTACAGAGGGTTTTCATGTGGACTAATATGCACCTATTCATTCTTTATGAATACTTCGAAATTTCCAATACTTTAAGTTCGAACCAAAGTGAATATTTGAATAAGCCTCAGGGTTAGTGATCAGGTCATAGGAACTAACCCCCTGATGCAGCCACTAACACTATTTTTCAAGTAGTAATTTCTAATTACTTCCGGAAGAAGAAACACGCCAAGAGGTTGCAGCATGAAGCCAGGCCACTTCACTTTGCCTGCATCATGCCTCGATAGAGGATGATGAAATGCACTACATATTGGCCATAATAAAGGTGCGCTTATTTATAAATTTGTGCATTAAACGCACTGGTACGGGATTTGTAACTGTTGTAGTCCTTATCGGCAAGAAGTTGAAAAAATCTTGCTTGAAGAAACTGCATGAGAGACAAGTAGTATTCAGGCCCGGTTCCTACGAGAACAATTGTCTGCGAATCCAAAGCGAATGCTCATCTCCAAGGCGAAGATCCATGCAAGTCGGCTTTCTCACCTCCCGGTTAAGAGGCCTAGGTACGGTGTCAGCTGACTTCCGGAAGAAACCAGATATCCAGCCTATGCGGATTCTGCCCTCCTGAGAACCCAGGCTGATCCCAGCCTGCGAGAAAAGTTTTTTCCCAGAGTTTCATTGATGAAGCAACACTGTGAGCTAACCAACAGTTTGTTTGCATTCTTTCTTGCAGATTATTTTGTTAGGGTACAATGATCACAATATTCATATACAATTGCAGTGGTTGCACAGAAAATGAAAAACACAATAAGCAATTAAAAATACTAGAAGTTGCAAGAGACTACTGACCCTCACATTTAAGCATAGACTGCCAGCAAACAAAAAAAAAATATTTGTGCATACATAAAATAATAACAAAGGTAAGTAATACAAATCAAAACATAAAGCATCACAGAAAAAAACACCCCAACTCAGACAGGAATGTGTTTATGAAAATGTGAAACGTTGAGCCGCAAAGTAACCCCACCCCATCTCTTTATTCAGACTGCCACTAGCGCCAGCACAAGACTGAGATCTCCTCACTGGGGTACTGACATCATTTTTCAAAGAACGAGTTTACTTTGTCACACAAATCTCCTGTATACAGAAACTGCTCTGAGGAACTGTCAAGCCCAGGAAATTCTGATAAGATATCTCATTTTGATACTGAATTCAATTTTTATATGACTCCACCTAATAGCATCGACATTCGCTTGACGTCAGGCTACAGCATAAATTGTGGCGACTTCACGCAGCAGTCTGGCTACTTGTGATGACATTAGGTACCAAGACTTCCAAAATGGTCAAATGTGAAACCCAAGACATTCAAAATGGTCCCTTGTGCATTACAAATGAAGCCACGATGCAGAGCAGCCGTGGAAACGTCACACTGTCTTGCACGAGCACCTGACAAGAAGCTCATACTGTGTTGAGACGTCACAATACAGCAGGAACTGAAAGTAGCTTTTGAAAACGTACTGTCAATACTTTTTGTGGGTGGACTCGCTCTTAGCAGAACACTTTCTAGGTTTTTGAGGACATGGCTTTTCATTTGACACAAAAAAACTACAGCTTAACATTTTCGTGTCAGTACCCCTCTGAGAGTGTTTGGCTCTTTCGCCTGAAGTAACTGAATATGCCTGTCAGTAGTATGCAATAACTCTTCTCAACAACGTAGCTTTCTGTGCGAGTTGGTTCAAGAAATAGGAAGAAGAAACCACAGCAAAGAACCACATGAAGACAGGGAAGAAGAAGAACAACCATACAGAACAAGCGCTGGTTCGACAGGAGCAAAACTTACCTTGTCCATTTCATCCCGACTAAAATCCAAGACACGGGCCAACAGTCTGACCACTTCTGGACGTTGACCCTGTGGACTGCTAAAATAGCCCAGCACTAAGCTCTTCATTATTTGCCTGCAAGAGCATATTTCACTGTCTTCACTCACTGCGTGAGGACACTTGTGATCACTGAAACTTTTGGCGGCCACACACAAGTGAACAACATATTGTGCTATTTTTTTGCATGTACAGCACATGTACAATACAATAGGGATACTAGACTTGATGCTAGGACACTATACAGGTGTTTTAAATGTAAACTATCTCCTTACGACTCAAAGGAACCTTGATAGTACATACCTGCCTAGCCTCTCACATTGCAAGGCTGTAGTAGTTTCGTTAACTGTTTTATCAGTTTGGTACGAGGGGTGCATAAATATTTTATTTAAACATTATCATTTTCAATTTTCGCTGTACTTTTACTTTCTGATACGTTCCAGCGCCAATAACTTCAAAACAAGTATCGAAATCGGCACAACATCAAAGCACAAATTGACAAGTCAGCTCAGTGCCTCCTACCCCCCCCCCCCCCCATTTGATTCATGCTTATTTTTATTCATGAATTGATGTTGAAGTTGACAATTCGATATTTGCTCATCCCAAGTATTAGTGATCCAATATGCCAGACTATGACATTCATAAATGACAAAGATGAGTGGCACAAACAGCATGATGTCATTAAGATCGTTTCCAAGACTGAAATATCAGAATATACATGACCTAGCATAAATGACATGCGTGCTGTTTTTCCATACCCCAAAAGGAGCAGTGGCTAAACTTTCTCTCACTGTCACGTGAGGGAGAGTGATGTGACCCAACCTGACTAGAACTTCTTTGAGGCACTGAAGGCGTCATGCCCACAAGTGGGGGAGCTGGGATGGGTAGAAATCATAATTTATGACATAATACCACCCCATAAAAGAGCAAAGCTTTGCCCGAGATCGCAAAAGTATCGATATGCTGTTGGAAGGGCCAGCAACCTAAGTTGTGCTGCTCTAAAGTTCTCGCTATTCTGCCAGCATTGCTAGTACCAAAAGGCGACGTGTCGCTTTTCCAACGATGTCATATGTGACCGTACCTGCTCAGATGACACGACTATCTCAGTGAAAGTGGCTGCTACACTTTTAAAGGTACAGATTTACCCACGAAATAGCCCAGATGGCTGAAGCTGGTTAAAAGTTGTGATGCAATGTTGGCTATCCAATTTTAGAACATTTTGCAGCATTATATCCCCTTCAGCAGCAGCGTGTAAAATTGTACATACAAAATTTAGAGGCACATCGCATGTTTATTCAAATGGCTTGTAACGTGTGCACATTTGTACAGGATTCCTGAGTGGACAAACACCAATAATTTAGCTTCTTTATGCTGCATATTGCTCAAGAGGATCACTTTGATTGAGACACTACAGTGTTTGATGACTGTTTGACGTGCAGTGTTCCGGGACCCACATCAAGAGCATTTTTTTCTTTTTCTCAAATGAATGCAACAACAACAAAAAAAATACTGTGCCTGCACTTGGGCCTAATATTTCATTCTTTTTATGCGAAGACTGATGCTGACTGATTAAAAAATCATTAGATATTTAATTACATACTAATTAGCACTACTGAAACACACACAAAACAAAACGTTCCTTCATGTTTTTTTTTCTTGGCATGTAACACTGAGTGCATTGGAATCGTGCCTATGAAAATTTGAGACATGTGCAGACAGTGGATTATAATTCTCGCCTGAAGGGGATATAAAAATAGAGGACAGCATGAGAGGCATATCGGCAACCCCACTGTTCTGTTTTTCCCCTTGGAATCCACATACTTGTCAACCTTTCCCTCGGTCGTGGTGCGGACATGGTGGACCTCTTGGTGTATCCTCTCCAGCTCGGCTTCTCGCTCAGATACTGGAACAACAAGAAACAAGGCTGCATGGTTGGCCCCACATCACTTGTGGCACACACATGCAACGAGCATAGCCTGTGGCGAGGATGAGGACGATGCAGTGTCTGGGACGGGGGAGTGAATATCACACAGGTACTGGTGGCTCATCTGTCAGACCAGTACCTGATGTAATACTCAGGCCCAGGCTCAGTTCGGGTCACCACGGTCTTCTTGCAGCAGTCGACGGAGGCCAATGTCATGCGCCTCATGCTTATGGCAATGCACATGCGCCAGGCACATCAGTTGGCAGAGCTACAAGTCACGCCGTCTCTAGCAGGGAATTCAAAAAACGAAAGGAAGGGGAAGGTACAAAAGCTTGCAATGAAAAAATCAGTAAACAGGAGGTGCGTGCTTGAATTCCACAAATGCACTTGTCTTCAAGGCAAGATTGTCTTCTTAACGGCTAGCTCTAGCATTGAAGAAGACAAGTCTGCTTGTTGAAATGTCAGCTCAAGCACACAATCCCTGTTTACGGATTTTTTTTTTCATCTCTTGAAGTACTACTACATGCTACAATCTGTGAATCAGAGCTTCAGAAAGGAGGCATGTTCATGACTGAAGCAGCTACATTCGTGCCAGGTACATGCAAGTGCCGAGCCTTCGCAATGAACAGCTCTGCTATAGCAAATAAGCTTTTTTTTTCCTCTGATCAGTTCGTAACTGATTCATGTAAGATTTTCACCTCTTCAATGAAACTGGTGCATTAAAGGGCAAGGGTTAGACTATACTCCAGACTTCAAGCAACCATGTTTCATTAATGTACACTTAGGTTCTTGTCTCGAGGATAACTTGACAACAGGCCATGCTAGCAGCATCAAAAGCACGAACACTACATGGACAAACAAACAAAAGAGTAAAAGAGGAACAAAAAACACGCAGCATTCACACCATGCACCAACTATACCTTCAACAGGCAGTGGCACATTGCTCATTCAGTGGAACAGTGCAGCCCTTGGAAAAAAACACACACGCAGGCAGCAGATGCAGAAAGGCAAATTCGAGCAGTTGGTGATGGTAGACAACAGGTTTACCCGAAGGGGAAGATAGAATGTGCGGTGGTGTGCCATGCATGGGTGGTCCTCCCGAGACAGCATCTCATCTGGTTCCCCGGGCGTCCCTCATCTCCCCAGAGATACCAAATGAGATTAGGCCTCGGCAGGGTGCCAGTGCAGTGGTGTCTCTCTCTTCCAGTGAAGTCACCGTGCAGAACACCTTTCAATTTTCAAAGGCGACTCCGTGCTTCAGAGACGAAAGAATGGCATGCTAGGCCAGGCTACTCACATTGCTGCTTGAGCGTCGCTATGACCTCCTCTCGACGATCCATTTGCTGGCTAAGCCTCTCAGCAGCTTCGAGAGCATCTCTGCTTCCCTCCAGTTGTTCCTACAGGTTAGCAAACACTCAAACCATTGCTGGACACTCCTGCCCCAATTCTACTGTGCATGTTCTGAAAAGGTCCAATGAGGTAGCATCCTAAAGAAAAGACGTTCTTCTATATTGAGTTTTGGTGTGATGCATGCAACCCAAGTGACCATGTTTGACTTCTGATGATTGCTACAGAAGGAAACACTAATTCTGTTGTACTCATCCCTTGTTTTCTCATCAACATCTTGGTCCTTTGGCAGTGCTATTGAATTACATACCAACACCTTAAAGGGTCGAGTAAAACTTCAGAAGGCATTTCTGTTTGAAAGAAGCTATGCACACTCCAGACTGACGTCATGAGACCAACGACCGGTGGTTTTGCCAATGAGTACTTGAGCTGGACTATGTTATTACTACAGTCATCTGAGGAGCTTTTCAGTTGTACGCAACCCCATGCCTCTTGAATGAGCTTGAAGACATAGCACAAGCGACAAAATTCGTGGCAAATGTTGATAGAAGAAAGAGTCTTTCCTGCCCAGCTGTGGACACGTACCTGCTTCTGAGTGACCAGTGAAATGAGCTGCTGAGACTTTTCCCTCTCCAAGCATAGCTGTGACTCGTAAGAGGAGCGGAGCAGCTGAATCTCTCTGTCCTTCTCTGCAAGTGACACAGTTATAACCCCAGTGAAACAAAACACGCAGCTCAGGTTCATCAACACAATCAAATATAATATGACTTAGGGCAGCTATACGGCAGTTCTAAAAGCATCGAGATGCTGATACTGCAACAGAACTTTCGTGTCAACGGGGACCACCTAAATTCCCCAATAACTGCCACAAGATAAGCAAATGTATTTTTTTTATACACACATTTGTGAGTTTTCTTACAGAAAACCAAGAGGATCAGGATTAAAGGCACTAGCATGACTGAGACACTGACCCCAGAACAATCATTGCTATGCAAAGCAACACAACTAAAAAAAGAACAGTATAAGCACGTGCCCCCTCCCCTTTTCCACTCACACACACACATACACTAAAACCTAATCATTAAGAGAAATACTAAAATGAAACACGTTAGTCAGTCTGCAGGGGTAGCATAAGTAACATAAGGTACATATAGAATATGAGTAACATCAGTAAAAAAAAAAAAAAAACAGGGGTTGTGTGCTCAAGCTGACATGTCAGCAATGTGAAAACTTTGCCATTAATCAAGCATAAGTATGAGCATGGTCAGTGTGGCCAAATCTTGTCAATACTAATGTATAGTGGGTTCCACTACACTAATAGATAGCTAGAGCTCTGACCTTACTTTACATTTCTTTACATTTTTGAAGTTTATCTAATAACTTCTCATGTGTAAAATAAAGCCAAGTGCTGAAACAGAAAAAAAAAAAAGGCTCTGACGTCATTTTAAGAGGTACCACGACAAATGGACAACGGAACACCTCGAATGTGATAATTTTTTGGCTAAGTGTTCTGTTCTTGCTAAAAATGGTAAATTTGTTATTACAGAAGAGTAATATAGCAATCTACGTAAACTTACTACTATCCCTTTAAAAGACTAGAGGTGATGTGTAGACATTATTAATGTTTACATTACCAGTGGCAAACTACACTTTGAGCAATGTTCTCTAGTGAGCTCTTGCCAAATAATTGCCATGTAATATAAGCCTTCAACTTTTAAACAAGGCCCGATTCACCAACTGAAATGCAGGTGTATGCATTCACTGCACCAATAAAATAGAATGAGAACTCATGGCAGCGAGGATGAACACAAAACGCGGACGTGACCTTGAATAAAAGGCACATTGTGGGCAAACTTAGATAAACGGGAGAAATACGCTAGGTAGACGGGCTGTTCGAGACCAAGTTGCCCCTTATCATTACGGCGAGAGGCCCGAAAGTTTGATTTCGAATATCACTAAGCTTTGTGTGCATATCTCCACTAATTTCATTCAGCCGACCAACGTTGAAGTAAAGCACCCCTGGATACCAACCTGTCTGAAAGTGGTCCAGCACCGACTGTAGGTTGGCGAGTGATGCTTTGCTGTGGCGCAGTTCTTCAGCCAGTGCCGCCTGCTGCGATTGTGCCTGGGCCAACTGCTGAACAAGGTTGTCCACCTGCTGGCTTGCCTGTTCCCTGATTGCAGACAGGTGAAATTATGTTAGAAATTTACTCAAACAAAAAAAAAACAACTTATTTGCTCAATATCTGAACAACCATGATTGTGCTCTCATACTATTTACAGGACGTACAATAGCATAGAAAAGAATGTGCATGAGACACACATAACGCTGACTGACAACTGAGGTAGGTGAGCAGAAGGAAAAACAAGAAAAATGCGCACACAGAACATTAGTGCCAGCAGAAAACTGCCATGCATCCGCTCAGGTACCTTGACTGTGAAATATGACGCGAGCCAGTTTATCGAGAGAACTACAGTTGACTCTCGATAATTCAAAGTCGCTTTAATTGATAGTTTTCAGTTAATTAAAAGTCAAGAAGTGCTCCCATCAATTTTGCATGCCCTCCTATGGGGAAAAATGACCGATAACTTGAAGTTAAAAGCCTGTAATATTGGTTAATTAGAAGTTATTTTTCTGTCGATAGTCTCAAGGTGACAGTTACTTTTCAAAAAAGTGCGCAATTTTTCATGTGCCAGGACCACTAAGACAGCTGTCAAACCAGCGCTCTTGTCACTATTGCCATGAACCGCAGCAGTCACAGTTAAAGGGATACTGCAACGAAAAGTAGAAAAACTGACGAAACTTTGAAATTTCACTCGGAAGATGCCTATTGTTTCGATAGACACAGTTTATTTCCAGTATTTTTGAACAGTTGGCTGTACTTTTGATATATTGTGAGCGCACAGCGGCTGCTCACGAGCGCGAGCAGTGACGTCAAATTTACCAAGGCGCATGCAGGATGCACGTGTTCTTGTCCTCCTCTTCCTTTTTCCCAGCTGTCCTTTCACTCCACTCTTTTCCTTCCACAAAAGCGCTCGCGCTTAGTCCCAACTGGAAGCATTGTTCGCTGCTGTTGCTGTTCATACCGGTTCAAGGAACCAAAGTAGAAGCTGAGCGAGTCTAGAGACACAGCCAATGGCTGGCATTCTTGGTTTGCCAGTTTCTGGTGAGTTTGACATCCCTAAACGTCACATGCTATAGTTCACGGCACTGCCGCTAGACGCAGCAGTTTGTGAAAAACGCGTTACATTTATTATTTTACCGTAGTTTCTGCTTGGAATGAAGGTTGTTTCTATCGATTTCAGGATCCAATCCATCTATATCACTGAAAGTATTGGCGGCAAGAATTTCGTTCAGTATCCCTTTAAAGAATCTGCCATCTTGTTTGCTCAATGCAGAGGCATGGCATTATCCACATAGGCTAACTAGGTGATTGTGAGGCATTGTGACGTGTTGAGTGCTTAAGCCGCACGCTGAGCTATGGTTGAAGTTACAACAGCACAACTGGACGCTGGTGGAACAGCGTCCAGTTGCATTTTACAACAGCGAAACAACAACCAGTCGTCGCACAATAACGACTGGGTCGTCCAATGCTCCAACCCATTACGAAAGCTTTTTGATCACCTATTAACTGTGGTGCATACCCAATTCAGGCATAATTCCTCATCATCGTAAGCCACTGCGTGAACAATTCGCACAAATTCCTTGCAGGCGTATAGCGGATACCACGCTTCTCAGAAGAATGACAAAAAATAGCCCAGCGAATGCTGGCCTGCTACCCAAAAATATTTATATTAATGCCGCAGTGGGTAATCAAGCAAGTGTGCTTGCAACAGTTACCCAATGAGTGCTTGAAAAAGGCTCTGAAAGGCCGTTCTTCTAGATTTTGCTGCAACTGTGCTGTTCTTTCCGTGCAGGCCTGTCGTATTTTTTAGCACTTCAACATGATGATCATATAACAACACACGCTACTGGCAGTCATTCGAAAAAGCAACAGGTAAGCCAGTCTTACGTGGCATTTTGAGCTGCAGACTCGGACACACGTGCCCACTCTTCCAGTTTTATGAGACGGCTTCGAAGACTTTCTTCTCGGGCCTCGGCCTCAAGTGCCTCTCGAGTGTAGCTTTCTTCCATCTAGATGACACAACACCAAAAAATGAGCTCAAAATGTACACAGCTACGCTGAAAAAGCACACCTGAATGAGATGAGTCCGCAGCCGCTCGAGTTCCTTGCTCAGTTTGGCCTCTTTCAGTTGCAGCTCATGAACCTACCAGTCATCAGAAAGAAAGTAAAACAGCAACCACTGCATTATAATGGCCTACAACCTACACAATCTGGTAGGTTTCCATCAGATTTTCTAGAGGTTTAAGTCAAACAAGCTAGGCAAGAAATCTGGTTGACCGAAACTCCTATAGCTGCCCAGATGCAAAAAAACATCACGAAAACAGCTGCCAAGAAGACAAAGCGTGACCTGTCCATGTTAAGCACTCGAGCTTTATTGTAACATGATAGGTGCCTTTTATCTGGCTGGCACGAAAGCAACCATATCGTAACTGCATGTACTAGCACAGCTAATCATGTTTCACGTAACTCAATGTTCTGTTTTTTCATATAATTTTGATAGCTTGATTAAGAGCCTGAACTCCTTGGGAATTTCCCTGCCTGCAAGTCAACCCCTCATGTATCACATGCAAGCGGTACAAAGTAATGGACTACAATATACACGTTAATAAGTTGCAACTGCTGCACTTTGCAAGATTTGCAGGGTCTATTAGTGGCACTGGTATATAAGATGCACCTATCTTAGCTTCCCTGGCATGACATAATGCAAGCTTGCATACTCCAATATAAAAAACTGCACTTGTCCACATCCGGGCTCTAAGTTTGCATAAAACAAAACCTTCAAGAGCTGCAAATTCTAGCATGGAAACTTCATTGAGCTGAGGAAACAACATTTTCTACCTCTTACTGCACAAATGCACTGCCTGGGCCACAGTGGTTGGCACAGCCTCTATGGCGTGGTATGCGACATTGGCTAACTAAACAGTCTGAACACGCATGCAAACAAATGCAATAAGGCAACCAGAACTGAAGCATGGGAACTAACATCCACGAGGTTGCACCAGCACATTTTGCATTATGCATGTTTATACTGTCAAAAATGCCTAATCTTATGCCTAAAGCTAAGCCAGACTTACCTGCTTCTGATACTGTTCTGCTTGTGTCTGCCAGTGTTGCACTGAGCTTTCAGAAGATTCTGGTTGTGTATGCTCGAAGCGCTGCACAGCACTCTGGAGCTCGACTATCCGCTGTCGCAAAGCAAGCGCTTCCTCCCGTGCAGCAAGGAGGGCATTGTTTTTCTCTTCCAGCTTCTGCGTCGAGGAGTCCACTTCCAGGCGGAGAAGCCCCAGATCGAGCGTCAGTTTGTCCACTTGTGCTAGCGCATCGCTCAGCTCCCTGTCCTTCTGCTGCAGGGCCACCTTGAGATGGCCCTGTTCTTCATCGGCCAGGGCAGCTCGCTGAGCGAGAGACTCGCGTTCCTCAAGCAGCTCCTGCAGATGCTCCTGCTCGACCGGCGAGCACTGACGCAGAAGCTGGAGCAGCGTGGCGTTCTTCTGCTTCTCCGCCTCAACTTCTAGCTCGCGGTCTCGCACGAGCTGCGATAGGTTGCGCAGGGCCTGCCGAGTAAGCTCGACATCGTCGCTTTCCTGAATCACCTGCTGCTCTCGACGTAGCTTGGCCGCCGCCTGCCGCTCCTGAGCAATGACACCGAGCAGCCTGATGCACCTCGGCCTTGAGCGAACTGCTTTCGCGCGACTTCTCGTTCATCACCGACAGAATGCGGTCCTTGTCTGCCTGCAGGCTGCGCAGTCGCTCCTCCATGCTGGCCGTCGTAGTAGAGGTGTCCTGCGCCGCGGCTCCGTCTCCTTCCTGACGCTCACCAAAGACGCCATTGGCCGTAAGTTTCTCCAATTTCTTTTCCAGCTGCTGCTCTCGAGCACTGTGACTAGCGAGCTCTTGCTCCAGCCAAGCACACTTCTCCCTAGCTTCTTTGAATTTTCTCTCATCATCCTCCTCGGAACTTACCGAGTGCTGTTCTTCTCGAGACGTTTCCATATCTACTTGGGTCTGAACACCAGTTGAAGACGCAGATGTAGTGACCCTTTCTGTCTCAACTGATGCAGTTCTGAAAGACGTGGAGTCCGTTTGCGCAGCTCGACTAAAAACTGGCTTTAAATACTTCTCGAACTTCTTCAGCTCCTCGGCTTGTTGGCGGTTCTCTGCCTCAAGCTTTGTTTTTAAAGCCAGTAGCTGCGCAAGGGCCTCCTGCACAAAAGTGTGACAGCAACGGTCACTTGAAGCAAACATATTGATAAATGGAGCAAAGAAATTCTTGCTATTTGGCAAAAGACAGTCATCTAATAATATGAAGAAACAGGGCTGGTCAATTACAATGTAGTACCTGATTCTGACGGTCCAACTCAACGAGGCTCGTTTCCAGCTGTTGCTTTTCTTGAAGCAACTGCTCGACGCACAGATCATGTTGCATGTGATCTGAAATGATGGATCATGATGTGCCGCTTACAAATAGTCACACTCGAACCAATGGCATGACATTCTAAATAAGGCAATGCGAGTCCTCACCATCTGTCTGGCAGGTGCCATCTTTTGAGTCTGCAAGCTCGTGAGAGTCCATGCTCATGGGGGCATCCGGTTTGGGCACTTGCAGCTCAGTGCCAGACTTTTGCAGGGATGATGGTGCATCATCTTCAATGAATGGGGAAAGATATTTTCTCAGTTAGCTCCCTTCGAAGGAGGCCTTGAAACAAAACCAAATAACTGCTGCTTTGAAGTAAATTAAAGAATAACTGTGCAGGAATCACAGAAAATAGATTATTAGTGTGAGCAAGTGGCCAAACACCTTTAGGAAGCTAATTAAATTATTACAGGTTTGATGCATTTGATTGTTTTTACAGAGAGAAAGCACGCAATGTTTCATGGCAGAACTGAGCAGAGTTAGAGCTCTTAGCCATCACGCGACCTCAAAGCTCTCATGCAAGAGCATGCACACATAACTAAAGCATGTCTCCAATGGAGCCAAGCTCTACTTTTACATTAACACACACCGCATATCCCCGGGTATATTACAAGATCTGGCAAAAGATTTATTTTACCACTGCAAGCTTTACCATAACATATTCAGCATTGAAAACAAGTGCGCCCTGGAGCTCTGAGATATTAGCAACACCTTCTGCAATGGTGATAAAAAGAACAACCACCAACCAGAAGAACAAGGTAGGAGCCTAATAAAAGTACTCATCTGGAAATGCAGTACATCAGTAAATACAATAATTAAACTAAACATACTATTGGGCAAACATAACTTCTATCGCACTTCACATGTACCTGCATATTTGTGATGTGCCGCAGGGTACGACAAAAAATCAACAGACGACACAGAGTGATGCACAAACTAACAACTGCTTTATTTTGATCACGAACTGCCTTATGTAAGATGGAGGGGAATTTAAGGCTAGAAAGCAGAATACAAAAAAGAAACATATCCGGGTTAGCATCATTGCATACGTATTCTATGACACGCTTCAGTGAAATTGTTTGACGCCCAGATATGTTTGTTTTTTGTATTCTGTTTTGTGCATGTATCTTTTCCTTTCCTCCTCTCTTACATCTTTTGTCTCCTTTTCTTCTGTCTTTCTATTTTCTCTAATAATCTCCATTTATTCCTTCCCCACTCTACTTTTCTATTTTTCTTGCTCTTTCCATTTCTCTTCTTACTTTATTCCTTGCTCTCTATTTCCCACTTTCTTCGTCTCTTTTTCCTATTGTATACGTGGTTTTTACTAGCATTACGCGAAGTGCAATAGTTTTTTTTTTTTTGCCAATTATGATAAGTGCTCATCATCAAGGTACTTGAAGAACAAAAGGAAGAAGAGAGCGTAGATGCTCAATATGGACTACACAAAGCGACGACAACAGCATTCTACAGGACACGACAGCCTGGCCCCCTAAAGTACTCCACACATAAAAAAGAGAAATTGAATTATGAGAGCGAAATATTCGCCTAGCCGAGATCCACAATGCAGACGTAGGTGAAACACAAACCTTCGGCCAAGCGTCTCTGGAGCAGTGCAAGCTGCCCAGCATGATGACTCTGCAGGGCGGCCACCTCTTCCTGCCGCTCAATGGCCGCCTGGGAAAGTGCCCGCTCGAGCTCCTGCAAGACAAATTCATTCAAGGTTTCAGACACACATGATGTGATAGCCATAACAGTCACCTGTGAATGCCAATCAAATCCATAGTCTCACAATCAAAACAATGTATTTACCACACTCGAGTGTGGGAAGCATCACAGTTGCATGAGCATTAACCCTTTCACGACCGTTGACGAGTATGGCTGTCGTAAGCTTTTCTAACAATATGACCGATGACGACTCTGTTCGACATCAGCAAAAACTGGTGCCACATGGAACCAATGACAACCATACACGCTGTAGTAGCTGTGTTTTTCGACGCTAGATGGTCCCACTTGTTTTATGTTTTTCTTTTGTTTTGTTTTTTCTCGATAAAGTTTATTTCTCCTCCTCCTCATGTCTCTCCGTTTTCACAGCTTTGCCGCTTCTGATATTGTGCATGCTGTATCGTTTTATGAGACTAGAGAATTTAAAAAATATTTCATTAAAGTAAAGGTGCCATTTCATTCGGATAGTAACTCTACAAAGTGAGCAAAAAACTTATCAGTAATTTTGGCATGTTTTTCAATCTCCAGTCATGAAAGGGTTAAATAAACACGGCCCATGTTGTCCTGCTGTGGATCTCAAGGCTCAACTGTCAGCAACATTTTAATAATCTATATCAAAGTACATGTTTACACAGCCTAGCTGAGCGAAAGCAATACTAGGCAGAGGTATTTTAATATGAGCATGTTAAAGAGCTTGTTTCGCAGAAACTTTGGTATCGATGTCTTCGGTTGTTAATGAAAACTCAGCATTGTCTGCGAGCTGAAATTCGATATAGTTGCAAATAAAGACATAGTGAGAAAAATTTTCAACTGCAGTGGGAATAAAACCCAGAGCTTCTGTGTCGCAAAGGTCACAGAGCCACGCCCGTGCTTGAGATAGCCTTGAAAAAAAAAAAAGTATACGAATGTATGTAGTGCGAGCAGTATCGTAAAAGCATGTAATAATATTTCACAACATGGCACCAGGCATCAAAATATGTGAAATGCGCAACAACTTTTTGGTTCTAAGGCCCACCAAATATAAGGTACACAGGTCATACAAGCACTTCTCTTCCTGCAATCTTAGTAATATTATGCACTGATAAGAAATGCACGAGTTTATGACGCTTAGGAAAACATTACTTGTAGTTTAGTTTATAACTGAAGTAAACTAACTATGCCATTATGAAAGTGGACAAAAAACAACTTACAGTCAAAAACAGGTTGTAGATTACACATAGCCAGGAAAGTTAAATAGAACAATGCAAATGGAGGTTAGGAAATAGAGAAGAGCTAATGTTATTAAAAAAGAAAACGTCTCAAGTAGAATGTCTGGTGCAGTAGCAAAGCAAGTCGTGGGTCGGCAAGTCTTCTCTAAGATGCATCATGTTCATACGTAACAAAAGCTGAAATAGCACAAAAAAGCAAAACAGCTATTGCATAATCGGCAACTTCGGTTCCCTGGTGAACGGTCAAATTTTCTTGCCTAAACCGAAGCTCAGCAAAGCGAGTGTCACAAACTCCCTGCATGGTTTTAGGCTACAACATATTAGTGTACCTCAAAAGCTATAGTTTAACAGACTCAATGTGGTTGAACAATTGTAATACCTTAAATTTAATACACTGGCTGCTGCATAAGTGTAACAACAGCTGCAGAAAATATGTATTCTACGCCTGGCTATCACACACTATAAAGAACAGGTGCTCACTTTCAGACGCAAAGGCAGCCAAGTCCAACGATGACTTACCTGGATGCGATTGCTGTGCTGCTCCAGGAGCGAAGATAGCTCACTTTCTTCTCCATTGCTGACCTGTAAAAAAAAAAAAAAAAAAACAGCTGTCTTTACTAAGACCATAAAAGCTCAGGCATTAGGCACATTTTAATGGAACTGGGCGTTACACCCACACCTGCGTTCAAGAGAGCCAGCAGCTGCTTGAGGGAGAGGTATCAGAGGGAGGCCGGCTGCTTTATCGCGCTTCCATATCGGCGGCGGAGGAGAAAGTGTGCGCCGATAAAAGGCCAAGTGGCACTCCACGAGTGCTGAGCAAACAGAACCCATTTTCAGCCACCCCACCTGTTGTAGGGTCAAAATGATGATGGCCCAATTGCCTTCTGCCCATGCTGTCCTTGATTTGTGCATCTCCATCCTCATATTTGGTAGTGTAATTAACAGTTCTTGAAGTGTAACGATGCAACAGAGACAAACGACACAGGGGCACGAAACAGGCAAGAACCTCACACATCGACAGTTTTTATTGAATTATGATGTGACGAGCGATAGCAACTGAATCACAGTTGTTAGTGTACTAGTTATTTGTCCGTTTTGAGCTCTTGTATCATTAGTCTCTATTCATCTATGCAGTACATTGTTACACTTCAGAGTGCCACATGAGCTAGCCCCAGTAAAAGCACTTACTTTAAAATGTAATTAGTAGAAATGAAAGCGTGGGAAAACACATCAAAACTAGTTCCCGTAGCTGACAATAATGGGAGTCCCACTCCAGCCAGAAAAATGTCTCCCAAGACCTATTTCAACAATACCTTCTTTCGTTTGTCTACACAATCCCATAGTGAGTACACTAACTCACGGCACAGTAGAAATCGTGGCTTGTCAGCCCATGACTTTCGTACAAACAAGAACTGGGTAAATACAAGTGCCCTTTGTTATCCCAAGCCCCTACTTGCCCAGCACGATCTTCTACAAAGCATTCTACAAAGTAGGTAAATGAAATATTTTTCAAAAAATTAGCCCTAATGTTCTTTTTCTTTCATTTTTTGGGGTATTTTGACACTCACTCTTCTAGTTAATGCCACACCAAGACTATAATTATGGGTAGCTCAGCAATCATAAGGTGAAAGACAAATATTAAAATGCAGTGTTTCTTCAATAATGCATCTGACAGCAGTATCACAAGCTATTACAATCGGGTTCAAGATAATCTAAACACAAAGTGATCCACTTTTAATGCGAACCACCAGGTAGGTATTTGGCAACCTATTACAGCGTCCAAGAAAGCATGCAGACAATTTTTGTAATGAACATCATCATCATAATCGTCGGCCTGACTATGCCCACTGCAGGGCAAAGACTTCTTCCATGTTCTACCAATCAATTCGGTCCTGTGCTTTCAGTTGCCACATTATACCTGCAAAATTTTTAATCTCATCGCCCACCTGATTTTTTTTGTCTCCCTCTCACGTGTTTGCATTCTCTAGGAATCCAGTCAGTTACCCCTAATGACCAGTGAATATCCTGCATATGTGCTACATGTCCGGCCCATGTCCATTTTTTCTTCTTGATTTCAACTATAACATTCTTAACCCCCATTTGTTCCCTGACCATGTCTGTGCTCTTCTAGTCTCTTAACGTTACATTTATCATTTTTCTTTCGATCCCTTCCCGAGTCGTCCTCAATGCAAGTTCAACACTGTTTGTAAGCCTTTAATGCACAGATGGCAACCTTGTTCATCCTACCACTGTCTTAACAGAAAGTTATATTGGCTTTGTTAAAACCCATAGACCACCTGTGCAAGACACCTGAGCAGCTTACTCAAAGGCCGCAGATTATGGCATCACCTACACTTAAAACAGCCACGGCGCTAAAGAGCATACAGAAAGAGCATTTTTGCGGGAAAACTCACACGGATGGTGGAATACAAATGAGCAAGGCAGCAATTATTAACACACTAGCAGGCCAGCCATCCAGCTGGAGGCATCCCAGCATGTCGTCAACCCGTCAGGAGCTGTTGTTCCGACAGGACCCATCACACGGACAGAGACAAAGAGAGAACTCCGTCAGCAGCACAAGGTGCTCAGAGGTGAAAAGGTGACAGGCCTCAAACCGGCACTGACATCTGTCCATTGAAGCGCGGAGACTCCGTTCCGCCTGAGCACCCCCCAACCCTGGGGGCCACTCTCGTTGGTTGGTTGGCCTCCCCACTCGGCTGGACAGGACACCTGCTGCCTGAGGCACAACTGCTACGATCTTTGGCATAGTGTTAAACCAGCATTGCAATAGCAAACACTGTTTGAACAACCTATGCATTTACTGCTGTAAATCAGTTGGCCTACAACGCTAGATTCTAGTGTCATTTGCAACTCAAGAAATCTTAAAAGTAAACTGTTCATAACTGCACAGTTTATGCAAGCTTCATTTCTGCATCATTAGCAAGGACATCGTGTGCGAAACTAGCAATTCGGCTTTGCCCTTCAAAAAGAAAGCCTTTTGCTTCTCTGGCTTGTGCTAGGTATGCACTTTCACCTTCTGCAAGCACACAATTCAAGTAATACGTGGAGCCAAGCAAACTCAAGCGGAGACAGGCCTTTCAAACAAGGAAAGAAAATCTGCAGCATCTGCAATTAAACAGCTCGAATTGAGAGGCTTAAAGGAAAAAATATTGCCGGATGACTATCAAATGCAGGAGCAAATACGTAGAAAGCACTTTTGGAAGCAACACAGGAAAGAAAATCTGCAGCATCTGCAATTAAACAGCTCGAATTGAGAGGCTTAAAGGAAAAAATATTGCCGGATGACTATCAACTGCAGGAGCAAATACGTAGAGAGCACTTTTGGAAGCAACACCGAGCAGCAAAACTGATGAAACAGGAGAGAAATCGAAAGTCATCAACTCCAGTTGAGGTCAGCTAGAGGACACAGCAGTGGGGGCGGAGCTTCGAGGGGAAACCCAGCACACGCAGAGAGCAACGAGAGTACATTTCTGCCCTCCCACCACTGCAGCTCTGTCATGTGTCACATTGCTCGCTCTTTGTGCTTCGCATACATGATCGGCGAGTCAGAAAAAGAACAAACTAAGCAAAAGAGCTTTCTCCATTTGTTTTTTCATGTTCTCCATGCGGCCTATACCGTCATGTGGCTCGAGCTTCAACCACCTGCGGATTTCACATTGTGCTGAGCCGTTCTGTGGACTAAATTGGATGCCGTATGACACGGCACTCTGTGCATGTGTCCTGCTGAAAAGTGAAACAGCAAAAGAAAAATGAAACGAGAGCAGGCTGTTTCCAGGAAGCGAAAGTTAGTACGCAAGCTCGGAGCCGACTGCAACAGCAGGCAGACAGGAAATGCCACAACCAGGGCGTCACACAGAAAGCAGCTACAGCCAGAAAGCAAAAGTTGCAGCCCCAATGAGATATCCTAGAATAAAAGAGGGCACCTAAAAAGGAAGGGAACAAGCCTGATGCTGCGCGACTGCATTAGCTGTGCACCAGCGGCCATACTTTGGCAAATGAACATGCTATTCTACAGGAGCATTGCCAGAATTTTTTGGGGGGAGGGCAGTACTTTATGCATGTTTCCACGCGTGTGTTTGTACGTGTGCGCGTATATGTAGGCAAGAAGCAAAACTGAAATTTTTCTTGGGGAGGGGGGAGTTGATCCCCCCCCAACCCCCCCCTGGGCTAAATCCCTGCTTACCGACGCAGGTTGCAACATGGTTGTCGGTCTTTGTTTCACAACACAGTTATTGTTGGTCAATTTAATTACGACATCACCCGCATGAATGTGGAAGCCGAACTTATTTACGCACTTGGTGATTTATGCATTGGCAAGCCACCGTAGCATTGTCACCTAAGGAAGTCGGTTTCCTGCGTTCGCGGTGATACGCGGTATTATCTCTATTACCATTTCGTTTAGGTAAAGTGATCCCACGAGCTGAAGCCATAATGCCTGGCCATAATAGTTTATAAGCGGTCTACTATAGGAAATCAACATGTCGTTGCTAGTAGAGCTGTGTCCATACGTGCCTTCTTGTATTCGAGTATCTTTTTGCGCTACACCGAAGGTTTTCAAATGAACGTGCTTCCAAGAGAATGGACCGACCAAGGGCTGACAAGGTTGGTCACACATGTGAATGTCCAGTGCATGCACGAACTGCCTTGCACACCAGAGACGCGACGCTCAGCGACCCGCTTTTACAGCGCACTAGAAAAAAAAATGGCGTCCGCAATAAAGCGTTTTACAAGGAACCGGATAAGCTTAGCAGGCGAGACGTGGGGGCGATAAGCGAAAAATGCTGGAAGAAGGTGCGAGGGGTGTAAAAATTTACGAGATGCTTGATAAGCGCCCGCGGCGGCTCGCTTCCCGTCCTCCTCCTTTCGTTTCCGCTCGAATCTATCTTTATTTGCGCCAGCACGCGCAACGCCGCATCCTTCTTCTGAGCTCCGCAAGGTGAACTGCAGCACGTCCTTGCGCACAGCGCGCTCGACGTGCTCCGACAAGCCGACGGAGTACAATACGGGAATCGTCGTGAGAGTTAATAAAGCTTACTCGGGAGAAAGTTACACAGGCGGTTAGATAAATAGCGCTTGATCTATAACTCGAAAAAGACTGCCCCTAAGGTTATATATATATATATATATATATATAAAGAACACAAGCGAGTACACGTACGAAAGAGCAATACTTTTATGCCAACGTTTCAGCCGTGGCACGGCCTTCGTCAGGGAACACCAGGTGGTCGAAATTCCCTGACGAAGGCCGTGCCACGGCTGAAACGTTGGCATAAAAGTATTGCTCTTTCGTACGTGTACTCGCTTGTGTTCTTTATACGTACCAGACCCCTTGAACTTCCTGCTGAATATATATATATATATATATATATATATATATATATATATATATATATATATATATATATATATATATATATGTATATATACATATATATATATATATATATATATATATATGTGTGTGTGTGTGTGTGTGTGTGTGTGTGTGTGTGTGTGAACGCTCAGCTACCGACCCGAAAGTCGCGGGTTCGATCACTGCCGCGGCATTACGATGGAGGAGG